CCTGGAGGCGGAGGCGCTCGAGCTGGGCGACGCCGAGGCCGCGCTGCGGCGGCTTCTTGTGGGCGGGGGCTCTGGGGGCGGACTTTGACGATCTTGAGGGTCTGGTTTTGGTGGGCTCTGGCTTGGTTTCTTGTGATGCGTTGGCGTTGGATTTTTGGGCGGCCATGAGAAGCATTGGAGTAGCCATTGAAGAGGTTTCTGTGGTCTTGATGTGTAGTGAGAATTTTGTTTTGTTTGGGGTTTGGATTTGGGTTTTTAAGGTTGGGAGATGTAATTTTTATATTTGAGAGAGAGAGAGGGACATGCAGAACTACCTGTCTGAATAGCAGAAAATGGGGACATAGCCATGTCTATTGGTGATCATCTTCTGATTATGTATAGTGTGTGTATGTATGTTTTGTTTGGTTTTTTTTCTCTCTCTTTTTTTCTTTTTTCTGGTCTATTTCATCTCTCTATTGTATTCTTTTTTTTAGTCCACGTAGTCGGTCCAAACACATAAATTCAATCCACTCCCATTGTCTTTCTATGTACTAGAATGACAAATGATTTTAATGGTCACATAGAATCGTGCCTTTCAATTGGGGTTTGCCCCGGGACTAGATTGTTTGGGTTATATTTTGGAGGTTTTGGCATGAGTTTCTTCTGGGTTGGGTCAGGAAGTCACTCGTCGCCTCAAGATCTATTCATTAAATTGGCTTTCTTAGATTTTGTCAAATAAAAAGTAACTTCTCTTCCCCTAATAAACTTGAGTAAAGCAGGTTCGCAAGGAAGATTTTGAGCCCCAACGACCAAGGAATGGATATTTTCCGAGACTGTGCCGCTCCCCATTACTCAGCAAGTAACCCCAACAATTGAAAGAAAGTAACAAACGATCCAAATGAGTATTAATACGTGGACTATATTTGACTACTTGAACTATTATTAATTCAACGAATGTAATTTAGCTATCGGCACATTTTTCTCTAATCATTCCCAATATAGCAAATCATGTGGGCAAGGATAATTTGAACATCCAACTAATTAACAAGGGGAAGTCCACTCTTTTTAAGCATTTAGATAATGCTTCCAATATATAGTCGATTCATGGGCTAACCAGGAATCTTAAGTATGATATAAAAAAAGAATTAAAAAAAATTAATATTGTTTGATTTTAATTAAAAGGAATATAAAGTGGGAAATAATTTGTGATGGAAAATAGAAATGAGAAGATTTGGGTGTTATATAAGAGAAGGGACGGAGGTGAAAGTAGGGTAGTACGTAGAACTGCAATGATGTGATTCCTTAAATACCAAAAACCTCAACCCTCTTCCCATTACCCTACACCTATTTTTGCTTTAATTTTTTTAAATAAATATCCTTCATTTTAGTATTTTTCATATAACCTTGCCTTTTATTTTATTTATTATTTTTTTTTTTATCTACACTTTGGTATCCAAAAGTGAAATACTATAAATAGAAATTAATTATAAAGAAAAATATTCCTGAAGAAAAAGTGGCGGAGTGAGAGAGTTGGGTGAAAATGAATAGTATCCAAAAGAAATAGTGAAAAAAAAGGAGAGAAATTAGAGAAAGTTTGATTGAGAGTAAAATTTTACTTAAATAGGTATAGTATAGAAAGTACTCATTAAAGATGGTAGATAATATGAATGTAACTATTAAGGCATTTTTCTTATTCTTGTATGGTTAATTATTTGATTCTTCGTTCTCATCTTCATATTTGTTGTACTAAAAAGAATATTAGAGAGAGGGTAAAGGCTCTCTAGATATTTGGAGTGAGCAGCAGACGATCGAGATTGGTTTTTTTTTCCCTTTGCCAAATTGACGTTGAAAATCGACCTTTGCAACCAACTATATTTCTTAGAGAATGTTTGAAAATCAGGCTCTTATAATCACCTATGAACTTATCACGTAGTTGCAATTAACTAGTTAAATATTGTAAGATAGAGGAGTTTGATTGTAAGAACTCTTATAATTAGACGGTGTTTTTACAATTTTCTCACTGTCTTTTTCTTTTTTTTTTTATATATATGTCAATTACTCCAATGCTCGCTTTGATACTATTTTCTCATTATTAAATATATAAAAATATCATAAATTCCTCGACTTTGAAGTTATCATTTCAAAAGAATATATAGATTGAACCGAGTGAAAAAAGACAATTACACATATCCAAACACTTGAAAATTATTATTAGCATTAACTTAAAGTTTTGTTTTAGATTCTAGTTCTTTTTCCTCCCACAATTATGAGTAGTAATAAATATCTTATCCATTAAAGTTCACTCGAATCGATTACGTTGATGCAGGAATTTAGTCTTGGTCCTTAAGCGTGAATGTCTCCAATAAACACTTGCAAACAAAGAAAACTACACACCAATATAATGTTAACCCCAACGCACTTCGTTGCCTAAATTAACAAAAGGTTTTGTCGAGAATATCAATAATAGAGTTGTGAGAGTGTATCTTGTGCCCTCTTATTTATAAAGAGAATCCCCTTGAATTTATTCAGGTTTATTGCTCGATCAGATTTGATCAACTCTAGTTTAGCCATTTGACTCATAACCTTCCATTTAACTTGCAGTTAAAAACCACCTGCTAATAAACAAGAATGGAGGGAATGGAATAAACTTTGTCACATCCATCCCATTCCGATAATTTAAAAATAAAAGAATTAATTATTGAATCCAAAAAATTAATAGATAAATGGTCAATCTCAATACAAAATTGAAGTTGATATTGATCATGCATGCAGAACGGCGTCGCTTTTATATTGCACGCAAGTGATGCCCGCGGTCAGGAGGGTCAAGGGTCCCAAACCGCGTGACCGAACGGAAGCGTGTCGACGCGATCGGGGTGAGACACTTACAAACGGAATTTTATTAAATGTTTTCCTTCCAAATGGGCTTCGGCCACGTGGCCACGTGGGCCCCACTCCCCCCGCGCTGGACCTAGATCCTCCTCTGGATATTGGCCGTTGCACACAACGAGAGACTAGAGAGAGAGAGAGAGAGAGTCCTATTTTATTTGATTTTATAATTTTTTTGTTTTGTGGGACCCTGCAGAAGGTGGTCCCCAGGAGATAGGCGGCTGGGGAGGGGGATTGGCACGTGGGAAGGGAGGGGAGAGATGACACGTGTGAGGAGTTGGGGGTTGCTGAGTTTGGGCGGACACGATGGATTCTTGGTTTCTGGGAAGCAGATTGTGCCTTGCTTTGCTTTTGCTTTGAATGATTGGCCGACGGAGTCGACTGATGCGCTGCTGCTGCCTGCTGCCGCCTGCGCCCTGCCCTTCCTGCGCCTACGCACTCCCCCACTACTTCAATTCCTCTCTCTCTCTCTCTTCTCCATTCAAATCCAAACTCTTCATTTAATTCCTACACATTTGATGTGATGATGATGCTATAGCTTTTTATACGATTGATTCTCCCACAAATTAGTATCTCCGATAAGTGGCCATCTTCTACACCCTAGCTCCACCAAAAAAAAAGAGAAAGAAGATCGTGTTGGTATCAAAAAATACATAAAAGTTAATTCTTAAGATAGATAGTCATCATAAAAATTAATTATTATGTCAAAGATTAAGAAGAAGAGAAAGAGTGGATCAAAGTTTATGCTGCTAATGAGGAGGGAATACCAAATCCTTGATTAACAATAGAGAAGCGTTTGAGTTTCTCATCCCTCGGAATCAATTTAATGAAGGGTAAACTTTTCAATGGTGGCGTGGAGCGTAGTATATTCCTTCTAACAACTTAAAAATCAATTTTTTTTTTTTTGAAACTCCATGTAATCTATTTACCATTAATTTGTGATTTGTGGGTCCCACTCGAAGCCCAACAATATTATTATTATATTATATTCCATGGACCAAAATTGATTAGAGGGGTATCAAAGATTAGGGCCTTAAAAGGGGGATGAAAGAGGGGTGTGGGTTTTTGGGTGAGGGTTTAAGTTGGAATAAAGAAAAAAAAGAAGGAAAATAGAAGAAGTTAGTTTAGAGTAACTGTTGCTTGTAGCTTTATACAAAGTAGGGAAGGAGATTTCCATAAGCATATATGTGGACCACACATACCCCCACAGCCCTACCTACACACTACACATAATATAATAATAATACATACATACATATATAAATCGTATATTTAATATTATATGAATTTAGATCTCAATCCCAGAAGGGACTGGGTGTGGCCGGGGATTAATCTGGGCCGTCCAACTTTCTGTCTGTTGCAGGGCAGGGCCCATTTATTGTTATATAGAGGGTCTCTGTCAAGTGTGTTTGCTGTTACTGTTAGTTGGGGTTTTTTCTGCTGTGGACTAAATTCAGTACAAAACAAAATCATCACACCTAAAACCAAACCTTGTCTGGGACATGTCTGCTGAAACAAAACCCATGGATCCAAATACCAAATACTACATTTTTTCTTCTTTTTTCTATTCTTCTAATTTTGTACTGTTGAGGAGGCCTCTCTCTTTTTGTATTTGCATTTTTTTTTAGTTTGAATGGACTTTGTGGATTCATAGCTTGGCTCCTTTCATATACGATGTAAGGGCGTTTTTGTCAATGGAGGGCGGTTGTTTCTAAGCGAACCTCCTGTCTCTAAACTCCTACCCCACTTATCACTAAGCACCTTAGTTGGTCAATCAAGTTGCTTCTCTCCACAATAAACTCATCTTCCACCATTGTTGTGTAGTTGATTTTGGTAAAAAGAACTCGAATCAACCTACTTACATCTTTGTGTGTGGTGTTTGTATGAGATTACCCATGATGGTAGTAAATCCATAATCAAATCATTGTTCCATTATAAATGAAATAAAAGATACAATAGAACTAGGACAATTATTGTATGAAGTTTACCTAATACTAGATGCAGAAACACATAATAGATCGATATGAACATCATGAATTGTCCGCAATAAAACCTATTGTTACTGATACTTTCTTCTCGATTCCATCTTCCATGAACTTGGAGAAGGAAGAGATAAGAGAGCTCTCTGGAGGATGTGATCAGAAATCTATTAGATTTCAAGGGGTTTAAAAATGTAAATGTTACACACTACTGGAAAAAATGTCATACTTTTACAATTGTTAGTGTAAAAATATTTACCATATAAAAATAACTGGTTTGTGTGCAATTTTTACATACTAAGTCTACGCTTTGAAAAAGCTACACTTGTGGGAAGTCTAAATGAAGCACACAACATCCATTTTCCTGGCGCCACAAGTCGGACCCTTCGCATTTCAACATCAACTGCAACCTCAGTCAGTGCAATTCTTATCCTCTGCATTCACATCAATTACAACATGGAGAGTTATAATGCAGAAAAATGATGAAGGAAGCACATCAGCAAAACAAAAACAATGTGGAAATTTAACATTTTGGCATTAAACCTCATGAAAGTCGAATTCGGGATCCCGAGCTTTTGAGAATCCATAAACATGGATCATTGGCAACGTAAATTTAGCATCTGGTCGGTCTCTTAGTATCCCTTTGAAAGCATCTACAATACATGAACAGAGATAGTAGCAGGACGAGGGGGCAGAATTGAAAAACTTGCAGTTAAAAGAATTATAATGGTATTCGAAAATTGCACACTCAAAACTTTTTATTTGATTAATTTGTAACTCTATTAGTAACTGGGTTTAATTGCAATGGCCTCATATCTTAGCGATTTAAGATTTAATTGTAACTGAGTTCAAATAGTTTGCACATCTTTTTAAGTAGCAAACTTGCAGTTAAAAGAATTATAATGGTAGGGTTTAATTTTTTTTTAACAAGAATTCTTCTCATTGAATTAATGAAAGTGAATGAAAATGTTCAAAGATACAAACTCTCGAAAGAATGAAAATTTTAAAATTTAAAATAATGGTAGGGTTTAATTGAAATGATTTCACAAGTTTCAGGGTAATTGCTAAAATTTAAAATTTAAGGATGCCTATTCAGCGTGGTTTTTGCATTTTTCTGAAAAATATACATGGTGATCTAACCACAAAAAGGGTAAAACATGATAAGAAATTCCAAAATTACTTCTAAATGCATAATAAACAGTTTTTCATAGTTGAAAATAAGATATTATCTGAATCCTAGCAGAAAATTTGTATGGCATCCCATGGGTGATGGTTGTAACATGATGCTGATGTGTGATAGACATTGGGAGGGGTTCGAACCTAGATATTCAGCAGCATCATTTGGCAAATTCATGACAACTTGTGTTATTTTAGCAGCTTTCTCACTAGCAAACATAGCACTGATGAATCTCCTTCCTTCCATGTTAAAAACCTTGAAAATGGTAAAAATAAAACAACGTTATGAATGAGAAGAAATGTTTCCTCATAATCAATGGTACTGCCTGTTTGGAGATAGATTGAGACCACTAATAAACGAGAATATCATTATGTGCCTTTTAATTTGACAGATTTCATACCTCGATCTTCCTTTCGAGCTTATTGGCAACACTATTTCTTTCCAGATACTCAACCGCGTAGGGATTCAAATCATTAGCATATACTTTCTTCACTATTCTTGCGGCAGATATGGATATTGGACCAACTCCAGCAAAGACATCACCTGTTGATTCCCATTCTTTAGAAGAAGAAAGAAAGATAGAAATTTCCACATTAACTATGTCATAAGAGGACCCATGGAAATTAAAAGTCTCAACCTTACTTGCCATTCATTTGTTCTTATTTCTTAATTACTTTTAAACTTCTAGCAATTTTGGAAAGGCTTTGAATGTTATGTTATTGATCTTCATTTACATGTTTAATTCAACTTTTTAATTGTTCCTATAAGACTCTTTGAAGGCGGATGCAAACTTAGAAAATATGCAGAGTGACATCGTTTAAATGAAACTAAGACAAAAATAGTATAAGAATCTAGGACATAACATACAAACAACATCACTGCAGGTAAAGCCACTTAGTAGCCTTTGTCTCTCAGTTGCAAGCCTAGAATTCCAGTACCTGAAAGGGGAAAGAGATAAAATCTATTTTTACTTCCAATTTCTCAATTTTTTAAATCATGGATCTACAACCAACTTCAGAAATCTTTCAAAAGATTACTATGTCAGTCTCATAAAGAACATGTGAAGTACTATTCCAAACGCTGTCATTCATGATGCAACTTCTCATGATACTCGGATAAAGGGGAAAGCAAATTCAATTAATCGTTGACTGGCTTTTGAGGAACGGGGAGCTTACACTGTTGCCAAATCCAAATGAAATCGTAAACCGTTCTCAACTACTTTGGTCACGAGAGAGTGATTCCCAGCTAAAACTTCAAGCTGCATTGTCCTGTAATCATTGTTGATGACATCAATCTTATTCACTACTGTTTGTATCTTTGGCTTATTTTTATCCAAAACAACCTGAATGGAAAGGCTACTTTCTTATGAGAATGCAATTGAATTCCACAGTATTTGATTGAAGAAATGAGTTGATAAACCCCATGACCTAACTTACCTTGGCAATAAGCCTCTTGTATGGGAGATGTTCATCTCTAAGGTTTAGGTGTGCAATATGTCCAACGGTTTCAAAGGCTGAAGGAATAATCATATCCTTAGGAAGCAGGGCCTCCAAAACCTGAAAGCAGTGCAAAGGACTTTCAGTAGTGAATTCCAAGACCCAACTTGTGCAATCTGACATTCATCAAGCAGAGAAGAAGAATTTACTGATATTATTTAGCCAGCATGTTAAAATTTCATCCGAATCAGGAAGGGGTATGATGGTTTTGTTGGGACTGGGAGCTTGTAAGTTGTAAATATAATATAATTACTAAAACTGTAATCCCTTTGACACAAGAAAATTGAAAAAAAAAATTGTATGAAAACATTCAAATAACCTATAGAAATATACAGATATGAAAGGAAGAGTTCATCCTAAGAAGCTAACGGGTTATATTCAATTCTGAAGGCTCTTTTGTTTGAGAGAGAACTCAAGTCTTGCATTGATAAAGATCAACATCAGTCAACATGTTGCTGTGTATGTGCGAGTATGTACCTAGCATGCCCTTATCCAATCTTTTTGAAGATGATATGTTGTCATTGAAGGAAGTTATTTGAAACCTATTACTTTTTTTTTTCCAAATTAAATTAATACAACAGCATTGAAGACTCAATAGATTAAGAGACTCGTATTAAGCGTTAGCAATGATTTTTAAGGAAATACTGAATCCGAGGGGAAAAAATCAATTCAATTGGTTCTCTGCAAAGATCTACTAGACCATCAGAGTATCTCCTAAATGGTAACAGCAAGTAATCGAAATTGGAAAGTAAAACTATAGGAAGAATTAGATAAAAACAACTAACACACCTAAATTTTCCCTTTTGTGAATACCTCATTCATCTGCCAATAATCATAAAACAGAGTAAGCCTGCACCTCACAAGCTCAATTGTCGGATTCTTGCTTTCTTGTGTATCTTCTTTCAGCAGAGCCTGAAGTACAAGAAATTTATTATTAAATAAAAAGTTCTAAAATACAAGATAAACATAAGATAAGGTTCACATCAACTTAACCTCGTTAAAATTATCACAATATAAGATACTCAAGTGGACATAAGGTTAATGCAGGATGTAAAAGAAACACCAAAGAGTGAGTTTCGACTCTTAGTTTGGGTTTACGTTAAATTCTTCCTCTAAAGTAGTCTCATTGTTTATAGGTTTTTCTAATACAGTTTTTACTATGCAAGCATCAATCATTTGAAAAGCAATTTTAATTGGTCTTTACCATTCCAAACTCGACCTAAATGCAGATCAAAACATAAATGAAATTGAAATTATTAATGAGTATGAAGATGTTGAAACAGTAACAGTCACCTTAATCGCCTCCGGAAGCTCTTCTACCCCTTTGTCTGCATATCGTTCATCCAGAAGCAACAATCTAGTCGAACCCCTCCATTTTCCACCCTTAAATTCATCTCCCAACAATCCCTTCATATCCTCCACTTCCAGTTCCTCACTTTCCACAACTTCCACTACGGCAAATTCATTTTTCCCCATTCTTTTCATCCCTTCATCCTCCTTCTCCTTCTTCTTCTTCGGCCTCGATATTTTCGCCAAGTGTCTGAAGTTCACATATCCTTTTGATTCGAACGTTTTCACTAGTTTTTCCCTGTACAAAACCGGACTCAGAGGCTCCCCATCACCCTCAGCTTTCCCATAAATTCTCCGGTGCAACGAATCAATATTAGTTCCATCTCCGTCATCGGAATTGGTCCAATTCTGCTCTCCCACAAGCTCCACCAGCTCGGCCTCGACCTCATCGCCGGGAACTCTAGCAATGTTGCGAATCCGAGGCCAATTCAAGAGGTGGCCGCGCAGCCTATTCTCCAGTTCGAAACAGCCTTTGGAAGGGACTCGGAGTGCTGCTACGTCGAAAACTCGAGTGAATGCATCTCCATTGAATAATACTTCTTCATTCTCCTCGTTCTCTAAGCGCTCCCTCTCCGGATTTCCGACTACGGTCTTGAGGATGGACTGAGAACACTCTGTTTGCGGCTGTCTGGATACCGGTGGACTCGGATGGCCGCCCTTGCAAAGAGAAGGTCCATAGGAGAAACTGTGGTCGGAGAATTGGGATTGGGCAGAGGAGAACGGTGAGCTGAAGCATACCGGAAGGAACCGCTTGTGAGGGAAGATAAATTTCGGTGAAAAGGCGATGAGGGGAAGTGACTGAGGCCTCAGGAGCAGCTTCGTAACCATAATCTCATTGGCAAGTGAATCGAACGGGAAAAATCCAGAGCCTGGAAAGTGGAAACTATGGCGATTGCGATTCGGAGATAAATTTGCAGGTGACGATGAAGAAGACGAAGGTTTAAGCTTTGAACAAGGCTTCTCACTTCTTAAATTGGGCCGTCTTTGGCGGTAACATGGGCTGCTCATTTCTTCCTTTGAGTTAGTGCGAAAAAAAAAACAAAAACAAAACATACAAGCAAAAAATAACTATTTTTTATTCTTATTAATTTTAGAACATATTTTATACATAACCTACAATTTTTAATATAAAATTACAAATACATTTAATCGATATATTTAGTGAAGCGGCCGGGCGAAATTGTGATAAAAGAAAACGAGATTAAAAATAAAATTAAAGAATCGATGGTCACTTTTCAAATATGTGAATATTAAAATGAAAATTTTTATTTTATTATTATTATTATTGTCCAGTTTAATAAATGTGGAAGGCGGATAATTTAACCATTTTAAACTAATAAATATTCTATTCATTTAAATTACTTATGGATTAGTGTAAAAACTAAATTTGCTTTATGATTGAAAATTTTGAATCTGAGGTTACTAATATTTTGTTACTTTTTTCTTTCAGTCAAATAATCGTTTAACATCCACGTCAGTAATATTTCCCCACCTACTATATTTAAATCGTTAAAATTAATAATAATAATAATAATAAAGCTGGTTATAAAATGAGCTGCCGGAGTAGTTTGATTTTTATTTTTTTTTATAAGCAATGGGTAGCCAAAAAAAGGACGTGATATTTACAAAAAATATAAATTACTTTTAAAAAAATTTAGTACGATAATAACTTTTTAATTTTGTACATATGGAAAATGTCTAAAATCATATATTTTTAGTATTTTTATTACGATTCTGTCATCAAATATACTTATAAGTGATATTTAGTTCTATCAACTATTCTAATTAGTATTAAAATACATCTCTTTACGAATTTTTCAATTTCATATCCATAATAAGTTGTTCTATTGCAAAATCGCCTATTATATAAATAATTTATCTATATTTTGCCAAATCGAGTATAACTCAATAGTAATTGGTATACATTTTTAATCAAAAGGTTGTGAATTTGACCTCATCTTACGTATCGTACTAAAAAGAATGTACCTATATTTTAAATATTTTTTTCCCAATCTGGTTAAACGTAATTGACGTTTATTTTTTTTTTCTTTAAAGTTCAAGGTTGGAATCTCCCATGCCCACGGTTAAAAGGTTAGATTAAAAAAAAATTTCGACTAATGCAATAGAATATACCTACAGTAATGGGGTTTTTTTTAATAGTATCATTTGAAATGGTTTTAATTTTTAAGACCAACCATTTTTTGGATTTATTTATATGGTCTACATTTGAAGGCTGGGGTGTTAAGTGTTTAATGGAAATCCCAACACTCAAACATTAAAGAAAAAAAAAGTGTAATAAACATATAACAATTAATTACAAGTGAAATGTTCAAATCTTACATCACACTCCCTTGAGATATTCTAGAATTGAAAAAAAAAAAAATTGCTTTAATGTGAATGTGATAAATCTCAAAAAAAAAAAAGCAAAAAAGTGAATTTGATAACTGTACAAATTAAGAACTCAAAAAATATATATATGTACAAATTAATTTTGTATTGAACAAAATTAATAATAAAGTTTTATAGAATTCCTATTGAAAAATGAAGTCGCCGCCATGGAAACGCCATTTGGAACCATTTTGGCGCCCTTTGGCAATTGGAAAAACGGATGCAGAGATCAATCAATGCGCAAGCTTGAATTCTGAGCAGCTGAACGGTCTCTCGCCAGCAATCCTTCAATGACGATTCTCTTATTGTGTTCGCCGGAATCTATCGCCGCCGCACTGGCCTTTATTTCCGGCGACTTGAATCCGAATCTCCGGCTTGAAAAACAGAGAATCCAAACCGAGGTGCAGACAATTGCACAGATCTTTCCCCATAAAATCAAGCTCAGAATGCATACCAGAAACATAAGCCAACCGCTGCAGATTCTTCTGAGATTTATCTGGCTGAATAATCGTTTCGGAGCAGTTGGATAAATTGCAAATGATCTCTCGCTGATGTCTGAGGAGGAAGGAGACGAACTGCAGAACGAGGATGATGAAAATGGCATAGAAGTACGCGAAGAGAAGTTAGAGTAGTTGTGGTAAGGATCTGAAGCAATTCTTGATCTGTCGCTGATTGAGGACACAGAATGATGCCTGATCTGATTCTCCTTCTTCGAATTTTGCTTCTGTTTCGCTTTCTTCTTTCTCATCTTCTTCGCCTGCAACGCTCACGGAACATGAAGAGTTTTTCGTCAGAAAACGCAATCCAACGATTAAATGAAATCAATCACGGAAAAATGAAAAACAGAGCATAAAATTGATGCGTTTCATTTAGATCGGCGAACTAACCAATGCCGTTCCGAACAAAACGGCCTTGATCGCCCGCGACAGAGCACCACCGCTGCCTTTCCTTTTCCGGCAACCGGAATCTTCATCGTCCGCATCCTTCGACGAAGCCACCGAACGAACAGAGTGGAACATCGTACCATCCATCTCTTCCACCGCCATCAACGGAAAAACCTTCTCGTCTGGAACATCCTTACATCGCTCCGTCCTGACATAGCAGTCGGAGGCTGGCGATCGGAAACACGGAAACAGTTTAGTCTTCTTCCTCGATTTGGCCGCATCGGAGTCCATTAGGCATAAAACTCGAATTCGGAGGGTGTTTGGGAGGCTCTGAAACAGTGGAAGGAAAATCTGAGAAAATCGAATGAGAATCTGAGAAGAAAAGGGAGAATCTGAAGAATATTTTCTTCTGTTGTTTGGTGGAGGAGATGGATTTGTGGCGATTGAGTTTTGGAACGATGAGGGCCGGCGAGGATATAGCGCGCGCTTCGTCTGGTTTCACCATTCAAAAGTTTTCAAACTAATAATGAAAAGTGTCTATTTCCGAAAAACACAGTAAATTCTTGGATCACTATAATAAATGACTAAGAAATTAGTAATTACAGCCATGCCATTCTAGTGGATTCATCCAATTTTTATTTAACTAAACATAAACACTATCTATTTAAATAAACTGTGTAATATAGTCGATATTTTAATTTTGAATAACAGGTGTATTTGCTAAGCCATGATCTAAATGTTGGATGTTATCATCTCCATCTAATACCTTTTTTATAAAACAAAATGTGTATAACTTTTCATTTTTTGTTTTTTAATCCTAATTCTTACCATGAGTTTGTGATTGTTTTTTGAATCGATTAAAAATATTTCTTCAAACTTTAACGGTGTTTAATTATTTAAAAAAAAAGGACTTTATAAGTTCTGAAAACATTTTAAAGTATTATTTAGAGGATTTGTCCAGTTCGAGTAGTGTTTATTTTGCACGATCATTGTTGCCCTTGAAAGTATTAATGGCTCGAATCATAATGTATGAGAGTAATGTAAAATTCATTTTTAAAAAAATATCAAAAGTACTTAAAATAGTTCGAGTGTTTTTTTTTTACTGTGATATTGTCCAAAAGATGGGTCTTATGAGTGCTTCAAAATAACATTTAAAAGTACAAAATAGAGCAATTCAATCTCAAGTTAACAAAACAAGTCGAAAGTTGTTGACATCATTCAGTATCCACAGGTATGGAGCTTTATCATCCTTCCCTGCTCAACAGTTGATCAGGTTGACTAATATGTATGAGTTGATTTTCCTTTTTTGTGACTCCAAACTGGCTAGAGCGTTCACGTGTGGATAATTAATTTTACCTCAAATGAATAACATGGTGTTAAATTGATATTTATTTATTTTTAAATTAAAAAAAATAACTATTCAATGTGGTTTGATTCATCTATTGTGCGTTTTCCTATCTCACTTGACCAACTACAATTCAATGGTCACATCAAAGTACTGACACATTTGGTTAGCTGTAAGTGCTACGAGAGTAGTTGACAAACGTCGCGTCTAACAATGAACTTATTTACACAATTTTATTTAAAAAATTATTTATCAATCGTTTGAATTTTAAAAACACCGTTAAAATATTAACTAAATTTAAGATTTAGTTGCCAATAAATATAGCTAAAATTTTCAAAATTATTTTGATAGGTAATTACCAACAAATAAAATAATGATAATGTGTAAAAAACAAAGAATTAAAGTACTAAAAGAAAAACTACGAACTAAAGAGCAATAAAATTACCGTACCAAATTAAAATAAATTGGTTAATCCTCATTCTTTTTTCAAAGTCTTAACAGTATTATAGGTCAATATGCTATTGGTACTTAAAAAGATATGTTTCTTATTAAAAAGTAGTTGATTTATGTTGTTTCAAAAATTTCAATTTGATCTGCATCATTCGATTAAATCTCACAACCACCCATGAATTTTAATTTACTCACTGAAAAATCTCACCCATCTCATTTATATTTTTAATACCTTAATTAAATATTAATCCACACAATTACTTAATTTGCCACCTGAAAAATCATTATCATTTTAACAGCAAACCAAGACAATTTGTGAAATTTGAGTATTCTATAGAACTAAATTGTCGAGGCTAAATTAAAACTAGATCGAAATTATAAAAATCAAATTGAAACTAAATATGAATTATGAAACTTTTAAAATCACAAAGATTAAACATAAATTTCGACACAGCGTAATTTACCAATATCTCAAACTAATTACGAGGCTGTGACCAGTTGTTGTACTAAAATTTTACGTGCAACGAGACAAAATTTTAAAGAAAATAATTTATTTAATTTATTCTTTTATTTTGCAATGCTTGCGTTGTTGCGTGTAGCCGTCTCCCCTTACTCACTTGGGAGTAGAAGAATAAGAAACGAAAACGAGGAGACGAGGAAAAATGGAAAAATGGAAAATTCGCGCAGTATATAAAAAGCTTCGTTCCTCATCATTTCTCCTGATTACTCGCTGTGAGAGCAAGAGGCTATTCAGTTGCTTTCTTTCAGCTTAGGGCAAGCAAAACGAAAACGCAATAGATTCTCTCTCTTTCTTTCTCTCCCAATCCTCCATATTTGTTTCGCAGCTTCTTCCAAATTCGCTCAGATGACCGACAAAATGGACTTGCTTCGATCCAATCTATCGCGTGTTCGGATTCCGGAGCCTACCAATCGCATCTTTAAGCAGGAATGCTGCCTCTCCTTCGACACTCCGGTAATTTCTCCTCCTCCTTGGATGTTTCCGCCAAATTTTGCATGCTATTGTGGTTGTTCTTGTGGTTTCTTGAATCTTTCTTATGGATTTCTCCTCTGTGCTGGAGTTACAGTGGTTTAGTAGTAAGGAGCTCTGTATTCGTTGAGTTCTTGCTTGAGAACTTCGTGTGGTCAATTTCCTCTTTGCTCTGAAGAAATGTTAACAAGTATTGCGAATTCTCACTATCTGTGCCGTCATTTCGTTTGAACATTTAGATTACAGTCGTATTGAAGTCGAGTTCATCAATACCTTCGTCGAAGTGTAATTTATTAGACCGCCACTGTCTAATGTCTGCTATTTCTTCTTCTATCTCGTAGCATCGTTGCCACATCCTCCTGTTACGTTCATTTCATTTAACTGTCCATGACTGCATTTCTTTTATGTCATTCTTGATGGTCTACTGTGAGATAGATGCTCTAGTTTAAGCGATGTAATAATCTTGCATAAATATACACATAGTTCATTTCTTCGCTTGGACATAACAAGAAAAGTCGGTGGATATAGATAATGAATTTTGACGTAGAAGACATTAAACTATTTTTAAAAATATAATTGTAGGAGATTTAATTATAAATTTGAAGTCTCTTATAAAACATTAGGTTACTTGCAAATTTGCTTATTCAATTCTAAATTTCTTTATAAATTCTATTACAAAATGTTGTATCATTGGAAACATGTAGCGAGCTTCATCTCTTCTTTTGTAATGTGCATTGAATACAGGATCATAATTAGGACTATGAACTATGAACTTTTAATCATAAAATCAATAAAATGTGTCGAAATGTACAAATAACTGAGAGAATACATGCGTGCGTACCTTCTGTGCCCTTATCCAATCTTTTAGAAAGTGTTATGCTGGCATGGCGTTTACTCTTCTTGGGGTGTTATCTAGCATTCAATAAAATTCAGTTCCTCAAATACACCTGTGATTGCAAATTTTTATCTGTCAATTATGTAATGAAATTATTGAATATATAGTTTTCTGAAATCTGAACTTCTATTTTCAAAATGAGCTGACCGAAAATTAAGGACTCAAGTAACTAGTACAGAAGTATCATTATAAAAAAAATTAGGAACTCTTGTACAAAATTATTGTTATACATATTCCATAATCTCTCTTCTGCCAGTGACATTCAGCTTCATTGCCTCCAGTGGCTCTTTTATGCCTTCATCTGCATACAGCAAGAACATTCTTTTCTTTCTGTGTGTTTTTACAATATCCTACACTCTGTTTATGGGAGCTCTTTTTCTACGCCTTTGTCTTATGATGCTGTCTTTCTTAATCTTTTAATTTTAATTAGTTAATTAATTTTTTTTCCTGAGTTTCAGAGATCAGAAGGGGGTTTGTTCGTTGACTTGAATACATTTCTAGCATTTGGGAAGGATTATGTAGTTTGGAACTACGAAAGGACTGGAAATCCTGTGTATTTGCACATAAAGCAAACAAAGAAGTTGGTTCCTGAAGATAGACCTTCAAAGAAACCTACTCTCTTAGCTATAGGTATTCTTACCACAATGTTGTATGCTTTGCTACGAGTAATTTCATTTAATCTGTCTTCTTCTTGTCTGATTGAGGTACAAAGACATTTTTATGCTTTTTGTATTTTGCCTTTTCCAAATATCATCAAGGTGTATGCATATAAGGTGGCTTAGTGAAGCATGATATTGAAACGAACATAACATTATAATCTTTGTGCTACAGGAACTGTTTGCTCATCCCAGTTCCAAGTGTTGGTTTTTTCATTCTACAAATTTTTACTGCTTCTTACAGTTGACATTCGCATTCCTTTTTAAATATTTTTGGTACTCATCTGCTACAAGACGATTGTTCCTCTATCTGTGTAAGGCTTCAGTACAGAATATCTAGTTTATTCGCTTACTTGTTTAAGCGATTATAGTATAATTGAGATGTTCCTGATTTTGGAATTCAATTTCTGTAGTGAAACTTATTTTGGTTTAGACATTGATTCAATTTATTTCGGCACTCTGCTCTCGTCAGTTAATACCAAAGTTTTGTTCTTGTGAGTAGTAATGACAATAAAGTGTTTATTTTAGTTTATGACATGTATTACTATTGCTGAAATAATACTGTTACCACACACCACCAATAGTGTATCTTATGAAACTTTCGTAGTAGCTTCTCTAATTTGGGAATATTTTCAGCCTTGCGACCCTTATTATTAATTTTCTCCAGGAGTTGATGGTGGCTTTGGTAACAATGAGTCCGAATACGATGAAACTTACAATATAGTGATACTGCCTAGTTATGCAACTCTTCCATTTCCTTCTGTGGAGCTGCCAGAGAAGGTGAAAGTCCTTACCCCACCCCTATCTGTAATCTGGAGCAGAAAACTATTTTTTTCAAAAATATTTTTAGCCATGGCTTATACTACAATTGCAGGTAAGGTTGGCAGTTGATGCCATCTTATTGGCTGAGGGCGCTGAGCGAAAAGAGCAACTTGCAGCATGGACAGCTGATAAGAAGCAGATTAGTTCATATGCGATGAATCTGCAGCAGATTGACAATGGTGTTATAGTTCCTCCTTCTGGATGGAAGTGTGTGAAATGTGATAGAACTGAGAATCTTTGGCTCAATCTAACTGATGGAATGATCCTTTGTGGAAGAAGAAATTGGGATGGAACAGGGGGTAACAACCATGCTGTTGAGCATTACAAAGAGACAGGCTATCCTCTTGCTGTTAAGCTAGGGACAATCACAGCTGACCTTGAAGCAGCAGGTAACGTTTTGCTTGATAAAGTTGAAAATATCACCTTATACTCGTCTTGATCGATTCGTTCACTTTTTAATGAGAATTAAATCATTAATCTAAATTAGTTTGAAAATATATAACTTTTATATCTGGCTTTACAAACAAAAGCTCAAGTTGTGAACTTAGAGGCTATTGAGATCATGATTCAAACCATGATGGCCATATTTTCGATATCCTACAATCTTGTTGAGGTGAAATATTGCAGCGTCCTATAAGACTTAGTTGAGGCATGTAACATGTTACATGTAATTTATGATCATGTTCCCTTATGATTGAGAATTTCAAAGAAATTCCACTTTTCATCTTCTATCAGTTTATACATGCTTTGAATTTTAATTATGGGCAATGTCTCGTGGCAGCTCAGATGTTTACTCTTATCCAGAGGATGACAGTGTCTTGGACCCAATTCTTGGACAACATCTTGCCTTCTTTGGCATTGACTTTTCATCCTTACAGAAGGTTAGATGTTCTCTCACAGAATGCTTGAGAAACTTGTTTAATTTTGCAGGGGGCTTATATGTGGAAATAGATATTTTTAGTTTGGGTTAAAATTATTTGTTGTGGTGTCAACTCTATTCGTGGTGCATAATTCTTGATGTGGTTGTTTATATGTTCTCCTTCAATGTGGCAATGGATCCACAATTTTGCACCTTGTTATGGGTAAAATCTCATAAACAATTTTCCATTTCTTTTATTGTTTTGCCATCTGAAACAAGGAAAACTTTGTTTTTAATATCTAATGCAATTATGTAATAGAAATATTTTATACTTGGAGGAGAGAACATCTCCGGAGTGGAAATTTCAAATTAAGTTGTAATTTTTTCCCCAATGAAAATTGAACAGAAGAGAGAGGTGTTGAAGATACATTGAGAAAAGGCTAAAGGGATCCGCAGAGCATGACAAGGACATCAAGGGAGTGAGAGGGGGGTGGGGACGGGGGAGTGTGAGGACTAAAGTCCAAAATCTTTGGATAATGATGATGGAAGGTGATTGTCAATTGAAAGTCTCACCCAAAACGGGCATTGTCGCTCTGATGTTTGATCCACCTTTACTTGTAATGGCTATGAGCTTTATTCTAAGGGCATTTCACCTAATCTTTTTGAGGGTAAGTTTGTGGAAGTCGGATTGATTGACCTAGTCTCTATTAGGTATCTTAGGATGCAAATTTCCATTGGATGCCCATCTTCCCAGAGCAAAAGAGTCTCAAATGTGTTGGAATTTTGAAACAAAAAATAGTGTAAGAATTGAGTTCTCTTCAATGAATTACAACATTCTTGTTCCTCTACCTTGACATACCCTCTATCTTGTCTAGCTCTCTGTTGTGGGTGGTCATGGAAATCACATTGAACCTTTATTGTAAACATTATTTTATTGTTGTTGTTTGCTTGCTTGTTTCTTCTTTTTCTATTATTTTTTATTGGAGTGGCGTGAAACTCGTTAGTGGGATTTGACTTGTTATATGTTGTAAAGCATTAAGATCTTGAAAAATACTTGATTATTTAAAAAAAAATATTGAAATTGCACCTATATTTTTACTTCCCGAACTTGCTTCTCCTCTGGCCATCATTTGGATTCTTGTGGAAGCATTTTAAAGCACTAAGTTATGCACCTATAGATTTACCTTCCATGTCCATGCTGCCCAATCTTGTTGAAAACAGCTTCCTTTTTGTTCATTTCCAGACTGAAATGACCACTGCTGAAAGAGAGCTCGACCAAAATACTAATTTTGATTGGAATCGGATACAAGAAAGTGGACAGGAAGTTGAACCAGTTTTTGGACCAGGTTACACAGGGCTTGTTAATTTAGGAAACAGGTATTGATTTGTCACTGTTCATTAAACTGACGTTTCTATATTTTTCTTGGCTCACAATTTTTTTTCTTCTTGCAGCTGCTACTTGGCAGCGACAATGCAAGTTGTGCTTTCAACGTGTTCATTCTATGAAAGGTCTTTGTAAAATCTAAACAGTTTTATTTTCAGTGATTCACGTTGTACGTTCTTTCTCAAGTTTATCACCCCGGCCATGTTTTCAGATACTACATGAAACAAAGTTTAAAATCGGCTTTTGAAACTGCACCTGCAGATCCAACTGTTGACCTTAACATGCAGCTGTAAGTGGCTACGGAATTTTATGCTTTTAATACTGCCTTACGTTTTCCTTCTCTCTTTTTATTTAAGAGGTAACCGAGAGAAGGGGGGAGGGGGGATGATGATGATATACTTATGCGAGTTACCTATTTATTCTTACAGAACAAAGCTGGCCCATGGTTTGCTATCTGGAAAATATTCTGTTCCTTCACCAGAGGTAAGGAGCTAAAGAAAATTAAGCGAGCCCTCTATATCAATTATTTCTGCTATTAGTTAATTTACGTTTTCTGATCTGTCCTGTAGAAATGTGAAAAGATGAATTCTTCTTCCTCAGCAATAGATGCAGTAAGTTTTGGACAAGCCCAAATTATTTTATTGTTCTTGTACTAAAACCTGAAATTAGATCACATAGTTTCTTAATGTTGATAGTGGCTGCATCTTTTGTCTTGCTTTCAATCCCTGGAAAGTGTGAAAATTTCTTTGTTTTGTATACTATGTTTGTTCCTGAGGTACAATGTACAAGTAATCAAACTTTGTTCATTAGCAGTTTCTGTTCTTGTACTGTTTGTTTAAGTTTTTTGAACATATTCGTGAAGCTTTTTCTGTTTGTCCTTCTGTTACCCATTTACGTGCATCAATTACAGAAACAGGAAGGTGTACCACCTCGGATGTTCAAAGCAGTAATTGCCGCCAGCCATCCAGAATTTTCTACTATGAGACAGCAGGTATGTTCACACTGTACGTTTATTATTTTTGCAATTTTTTTTTTAATGGAACGACTTGATTTGCTTATTTGAATGATTTACAAGTAGTATATTATGGATTTGGGTCAGTATTCCTACTCAGTAGATGTGATTGCACTTGTTTGAGACAAAATATAGGGTAGACAAAATATAGGGTAGAAAAAATAAACATATAATTCAAATGTGGTATAACTTTTCTCATCAGTTTCACCGTTCCTCCTAGAGTTTCCTCAACCAACCATGTAGCTTTGGCCTATGGGTTCTTTTGAGTTATGATGGAGCATAAACATTATATTACCTTGGTACGTATTGAGCTAAAATTTAATCCTTCAATACCTAATTGGTTCCTTCAAGTAGGTGGAGCAAAACGCAAAATCGTGGATCTTTAATTGGTCCATGTAGTTTCTTTCCACTGTCACAGTTCATTGTTCTTTTAATAAGTTGGGATGTCTGAGTTTATGTACAGAGAATCTTAAGCACAAAAAAGTTGATTGTTTCAGGAGATCATGGAAGTGAATAATAATTGAGGCAAGGAGCTCATTGTTACTTTGGGAGAAAAACTGTTTCGATTGGGATTCTTTCAATATGTTGGAAGGTTTCTTGAGGTAGTATTTATTCAATATGTTGAGAAAGGAGAACCGTTTCCAATTGTATATGGAGTGGAGGTGGCAAACGCTTTAAATGAGCAAACCTTGAAATTAAAATCTAGTTTAATGAGGAAAGATCAGAAAACATTGGAGATTGTTTTGGGAAAGAAGCAAAACTTCTGGTTAGAATGATACAGAGGAGTAAAGAAGTGAGCATGAGATAATGGTGAGGTCAATGTTTCCTTGGGACTGTACCTTGATCCCAACAAGGTTGGTTGATACGGAAGAAGCTTTTAAAGGAGTTCGCAGGGCGTATTTGCATTATTAATCCTTTCTTTGTGAACAAGGTGTTGCTGAAATGTAGGAACAAAGAAGAGGCGGATATGCTGTATGGGAGGGAAGATTTGGGCAACGAACTTTAGGGTAAATGTGGAAAGGTGTGATAAGGGTCGCCATGGTAGAAATGCAATGAGTCCTTTGCAAGGGGTACGTGAGTGTTAGAAACATTGGAAGACCTTTGGAACTTGGAGATCATGGATTATATTCCATTAATCCTTTTGCAAAAGCCTGGACGTATATTGGGTGGAGCTTTAGGGTTGACTCAGTGTTGGAGGAAGTATGTATCGGCTATTCATTTATTTTCTCATTATTTAATCTTTAGGTTTTTATTTTTTTTATTAATTTTTTTATAATCTAGTTATTTTGCTGTTGTAAATTATGACATCTTTTAAGTTTTCTCTGGAGGACCATAATCCATTGTTCTAGTGAAAGATGTTTTTTTAAACTGTGCCTGATGGGAAAAAAAGTAGCCGTTGTTAAGAAGACCATTTCATCTCGCATGTATCTAGTTTTGCACACGAAAGCCACTAGTCTATTTTAGTTAAAAGTGAATGAAATTTGTATAGGATGCCTTGGAATTCTTCCTGCATTTTGTTGACCAAGTTGAGCGACTGAATTCTGGGAGTTCTGGAAGTGATCCTGCAAGAAGCTTCAAATTTGGTATTGAGGATCGTATTGTGTGCTCCTCTGGAAAAGTTGCTTATAATAGACGGCACGATTACATTCTCTCATTGAACATCCCATTACATGAAGCTACTAATAAAGGTAAGATAGTTTAGCCATTACTTTGGTAGAAGCATCCATCACCAAATGACATAATTGTTTGAATTATCAGATGAAGTTGAAGCCTTTCAGAAGCTCAAGGCACAACAGATCTCAGAAGGGAAGGAACTGTAAGTGGGAATTTGTTTATGTTTTTACCATTTCACATCGATTGTCTGTTACTAAGAATAATGGGTTTAACAGAGGTAGCGATGAAATTGTGCGACCTAGAGTGCCTCTAGAAGCATGCCTTGCTAGCTTTTCATCTCCAGAGGAGATTCATGATTTTTACAGCACTGCGTTGCAAGCTAAGACTACAGCAACAAAGTAAGCATTCTTCATTTTTCTCAGATTGTAATAAAAAAAAAAAGTCAGATTCCACTATTTTATTTTATAAGTTTGTGCATTCAGTACCTGTAACCAAAAGTTTTTAGTTGCCAATGGACAGAAGTTGAGTTATTATTTCCATTTTCCCTGCTCTATAACTCTACAGGACTGCAAGATTAACTTCCTTCCCGGACTACCTGGTCTTGCACATGCGAAAATTTGTAATGGGGGAGGGTTGGGTGCCCAAAAAACTAGGTGCTTTTCTGCACCTTTCTTGATTTTCTTGTTCTCTCTTACGTGGTCTTTCTGTCTCTTATGTTTTAACTTTATTTTATATCACTTAGATGTCTATATTGATGTCCCTGACATCATCGATCTCAGTCAAATGCGTAGTAAAGGACCCCAGGCAGGGGAAGAGCTTTTGCCCGAGGCTGGTAAGTGGATTCTTATTGGTCTTTCTACTCTCTTTCAGTCTCTACTATCTATTCGGCACTTAGATAAGTTCACAGTTTATATCTCATGTTCGTTTAACTTAGGAATACACGTTTCAATTATTTATTTATTTGATGTAGATACTGCTGTATTTCAGTTATTTCTTTAATTATGTAGATTGTGTATGTATGTGTTTGTGTGTGCGCTCCTTGGATTGGAACACTATTTCAATCATTTATGTTGGGAACATATTCAACATGGACGTTGCACGAGGCACATGATTGGAAGAGTTTGTTTTCTACTTTAGTATATGTGCGACAGGTATCTGGGGGATATGTTTACCACATTATAGTATAGATAATGAATTAAAATGTAAGAAAACATTATTTTCCAATTTATAATTGCAGAATCTGTTTTAAAGAAACTAAAAAAAAACCTTAAAATACCATGCACCACAATTAGGGGTAAAAAAAGGAATAAAATAAATTAAAGAGTAAAAGACCGCAACAAAAGTAGATGATAAAAACTACTAAAAAGAAAAAAGAACAACCGAATAAAAAGAAAAACCGCGCTCGTGAAGATATGGATAATGATGTTTGATGTATGAGCTTTTTTGTGCGGATGGCTTGTTTTACTCATTTGGTGGGAAGTTGACTTTGTTTTCTAATCCTTGTTAAAGAATCTTGTGTTCCGTAATATAATATTTGATATTTACATCTGCAGAATATAGCATTTAAAATATAAAGTTATATACCTAAACCTTAACTATCAATTAAATTTATTATATATGAAAATATTGATTGAAACACATGGAATGTTTTGATATTGTGTCTCTGTCTTTCATTATTCTAATTTATGGAATATAATGTTGCAGCGTCTATATCTTCTTAAGGTTATGAACTCAAATTTTCTTGGGTTTCTATATTGTTTTCTCTACATGATAATATGATATATTAGCCCTTATTTTGTCGTCATTGTCAGGTCCGGAGAATGAGTTTCAGTCAAATAAACCTTCAGCCAACGAGGATATTGTTTCTCAGCTTGTGTCGATGGGATTTAACCATCTTCACTGTCAGAAAGCTGCCATTAATACCTCGAACGATGGAGTTGAAGAGGCTATGAATTGGTTACTTCTTCACATTGATGATCCAGGTATTTTTAAATAATATTGTCCTGATGCACAGACTCCTCTTCTCGAGTTTCTGTTTATGTTCTTAGCTGCTTTTTATTGTTTCAGCGCCCATGTTTTAAGGTGTCATTGCAATAAATATTCGCTATCCTTTTTCTTTTTTTCCTGGTAGATATAAATGATCCGATCTCCCAGAAGGCCGATTTTGTTGTTGACCAAACAAAAGTTGACATGTTGCTTCAATTTGGTTTTCAAGAAGCAATTGCGAGGAAGGCCCTAAAGGCATCTGTAAGCTTATTTTCCTGTACCCGCTCCCTTACCTTATTCATATATCATATACACTTAGAAGAGGGTGAAGAGTAAAGGAGTCAAAACACCCAAAATGGAAAAGAAAAGAAAAGCATGCGTTTTGATTCTCCATGCATCTTTGGTTACAGGGCGGTGACATCGAGAAAGCGACAGATTGGATATTTAACAATCCTGAAGCTTCTATATCATCAGACTGTTCGGATGGCACTACATCAAGCACACCTGCTAACCTCGACGCTGGGCTACCCGATGGTGGAGAGAGTTAGTTACTAACTCTCTTGATAATATTTTTTCTTCTGTTGATGAATTTTCCAGTTTTTTTATTACTTTGATAAATCCTTGGGTTCTCAACTTTGATGGAAAATTTACACAATTTCAAAAAAAATCCGAAATTTAATGAAGGATTTAAATGGGAAAGGGAGAGAGAATGAGAAATTTCATTGATTATTAAAAAAGTTTCTTTTTCATCGAAATCTAGAACTTATAGTGTTGGGGACACGTTTTTGCTTCTAAAATTTGTTTAATAGTTTTTTTTTTTTCAGATTTTTTCTAAAATATTAGAGTGTTCAGTCTAAAACAGTAAGTAAAAAAACTTGTCTAAAAAACAATAAATAACGGTAACTAACACATCATTAAATGAGGCTTTAAATGACATGTAATTACTACTCTTTAAACAGAAGCCGTCTGGTTGATTAAAGCATTGGTGGTTTGAAATAGCCTTGACTTATATAGGCCTGTTTAGCTGTATGTATTAAATCCAAGTATATCCTTTCCCCTCGTTGAAATATTTGTCCTTTATGCCAGTTTATCATATTACCCTATACATGGCTTTGAATATTATCATCTAGTAAAAGAATTTCCTTTATTGGTTAACCGATTTTTATTTCTAGGTCAATTGAATGACACCTGTAAAAAAATTTATTACTTTTCTCAGAGTGCTTCAGACACGTGTTCTCACCCAGCTTCTTTCGACTTTACTTCTGATCAATATCTTCACCACTACTGAAAAATTGCCAACTCGTTTTATTTTTGAAAAAAATGTTTATTTTTGCATTTATCTCTCTTAGTTGTCAAACATTTAATGTGGTGAAGAAAAGATTTCGTTAAGGAGCCAAGTATTTTCTGTTAAATATTGATGCGAGTTTGAAGTTTCTAGATTTTGTTAGTACGAAATCCTAATGATTGGTTTTTGCAGGATATAAACTGATGGGAATAATAAGCCACATTGGGACGTCTACTCAATGTGGTCACTATGTTGCTCACATCTTCAAAGATGGTAGATGGGTTATTTTCAACGACGACAAGGTTGGGGTTTCTGTTAACCCGCCTAAGGACATGGGATATTTGTATTTCTTCGAGAGGCTGAAAGAGTGACAAACCAATTTCGTCATAAGCAGTTGAGAATTCACCCAAAATATGGTAAGATGACGAGAGCTGAGGAGAAATGGGAAAATCATATTTCAGATTCAACCGCTTCACCGCTATGATCGTTTTGTGGTGATGCGATATTTCTGATGCAAAATTTGGAAAGAAAAGTGTCTTGTTGGGACTTATTTCATTGCTGTGTAATGAATGTCATTCAATGTTGGCTGGCTGCCTCCCTTTTCTCCCACAGTAAATTTGTTCGCAATTTGTTTCCATGGTTTCTTTAACCACCGCTTTTCCAAATTTCTGGAAACTAAATATGAAAATATAACCAGAAATCTCGCTGCACTCTATGAAAAGACCCGAATATCATGCTAAAAGTTAATTGTAATTTCTTGTGGTTTTACTTTTACTGGCATGATTTTTCCCCTTTCTTAAATAGTGGTGGTGTGTGTTAAAATTGAATGAATGTGATTTATACATAAAAATAGTATTTAAAATTTTTAGAAAGGTAATGTTTAAAAAAAATTTTGTTTAGCAATGTCGTTTCATTTTTTTCCATATATATATATAATTTGTTTAGTTTAATTTCAATTCTGAAATTTGTAAGAATTATATAAATAAGAAAAATGTTTCCCCCCTTTTGGGTAATCTCGAAAGTTTGTTATTGTAGTTAAAGATATTTCTGTTTCTTTTTATTTATTCTACTAAAGTCTAAACATAACATTTATGTAATCTAGTTAGATGGGAAAAAACTATTTAAAGCATCACCCTCATTTATAGATGATAATTTTTTAAAAATATATTAATAATGATCAGTAAACTACGTTTACTAGTAAATAATTGACATATATTCCTCTTTTGAGGCTTGAAGTTGGACCTTATTCAAAAAATATTCAAAAAAAAAAACAGAAATAATTATTTTAAAAATAAATGATCAGAAAAATAAAAAAAAAATATTTTAAAAGTAAATTATTAAAAAAGTTAATGTACGACGGCTAATTATGGACTAAATTAAAATAGTATTTAAAACTTATTATTGATACAGTGATATTTATCAAGTTACAAAGATGTCAACTTCAAGCATTTTATTTCCATCATTACTCATCCAATTAAATTCCTAACAAATCGACCAACAACTTTTCACCAAACTCCTATAGGGGCAGCCGACCATTTTAATTGGCGTACGAATTTTCCCTCCATTTTTCTTTACCAAATTCTCTTCCCATCATTTATTATCATTACTTCCTCCCCTACTCTCTTTCTCATCTCTCATCTTTCCCCTCCATCCCACGCGCCACTATTTTCAAAAGATTACCATTAATAACTTTTTCCTTCAATTTTAAATCTTTCCAACTTTAGTTTTTTTTAGTCATGACTATAATTATAGACATTTAATATAGTACCTACGTTAATCAATCTATGAGACCCCAATATACATCATACCATACCAGCGTATTAGTATACATATTTGAAGTCACTTTATCAAGTTATCAAGTAAATTTTTTTGGAAGAAAAAGACTTTATTAAAGCAAATAAACGTCTTTATTGGCAAAGGTAGTCAGCCAACTAGGTAAACGAGAAATTCCAACTCTTACTTTCCCTTCTCTCATCCCAATAGAATGAGCATAAAAATTGGCATCCCTACTCACTTGAGATAACTGCCACATGCATGTATCTTTCAACCGCTAAATTTCTTCAACCAGCCACAAGATTTTAGTGAGATCTGAAATTAATGATAAAATAACATTAACTACAAATTTCTAGGATCAAAGTTATCATTTTGAAAATTTATGAAAAAAAAAGATCTTGAAAGTTTAGAGATTGAAAAAKACTTTTTGAAAGTTTGTAAATAATTAAGATAAGACATTTTGACAATTGAAAGAGCCAAATGAAACAAATTTGAAAATTCATAGTTTAAAATTCAACTAATTGATCTCTAATAGTTTTGGTTAGTCTTGAACATGTCAACATGGAGGTGGTGATGCAGAGCAAAATCGTGATTAATCGACAAGACAAAAACTACGACACTGATATCTGCCAAAAATCAGGCATTCTAATGCTCAAATTAGTTTGAGTTTAAAATTGAAAAACTCAACTAAACTAACAAATATAGTTGAACTAGAAAATAAGAATCATTCTAATAATTCTCTACTCTAAAAAATCATAACTTTGGAGGCCTTCTTTTCTGTTAGATAGATTGAACAACTCTGACACCAAAATCATTACAGCTACTTTAATAGCATAATACATCTTCCAACCCACTTTGAAAGAAAAAAAAATAGATAAAAAAAATAGTTATTTTAAGTACATAATTTACTAAAAAAAACAGTTGACTTGCAACCATGTTTAATAAATACTTAAATTAATCAAAATTACCTGGTAATAGTGTCAGTTCCTTGGAGCGGTTGTAACGAATATTTGTTGCCTCAGTCGTTCAAGCGCTTGTGAGCGCGTGGCAGAAAAGAAACCCCAACTCAAAGGAGAAAAATCGGACGTGCAACACACGCGCTATTAAATTCGCGTGGGTTAAATTATCTCCGAAACAATTCCATCTCATCCCAAAAAATATTACAACTCAGAGCAGCACGGATTCGTAATAATTGCACGAACAGCCTGACGCATTCTCCGTCCGCCACGTGTCCCTCCCGCACGGACACCAAAAGGAAATTCCGTCGTATTTACATTCGCCTCTCGTGTCCGCTCTCTCCGCCACCGCCCGCTGCCGACCGGTGAAGTTTTTCTTTTTGGCCGGAAAATTTAATGTCAATAGTGTTCTTCTGGTGATCGCCATGGCCGTCGCCGACCGTCGCAAGCCGCACAATGATGTGAAGCTCTTCAGGCTCTGTCCAATTTGGCAATCGGGGCATACGTCGTCGACTCAGAACCTTCACCATAGTAGCCATGGCCCTAGCCGCAGAAACGGAGCGGCGGCGAATCATACGAAATCTTCGTCGTCGTCCAAGACGGTGTCGTCTGTGGCGAAGTCGCTGTTGCCTCCTCGGCGTAGGCTCCGGCTTGATCCTAACAATTGTTTGTTCTTTCCATGTAAGTTTTGTTGTTTGGAGCCTCTATTTCTGATTTTTTAGGTTCGTGAATTGAATTCGGAGGTCTCGCTGTTATTGAATTGCAGTGTTCAATTCGAATCGGAATTAGATTTTTCAAGGTTCTTCTACTGGAATTGCGGTGTTTAAGCCGCTAGCAAGCTTTCAATATTCAATTTGATAATGCGAGATAAAACTATGCTCGTTCGGATTAGAATATTTAGCTTTTTTATGTTCTGGATTTTCTGGATACCATTCGCAAAAAGAATTTCACATGACTTGAAACAGAGGAATTGCAATTATTGTCCAGAATTTGCATTGATTTCTTCATTCTTATCTTAACGCTGTATTATTTGCTGGTTGTTCTGTAGATGAGCCCGGGAAGCAGGTGAAGAGCGCCATCAGGTTGAAGAATACGAGCAGATCCCATGTAGCTTTCAAGGTATTACTTTAGTTTTTGTCCCATCGAAGGCCTACTTTCACGTTTCACGTTTTGTTCTTTTTTATTATTCTTATATCCATTTCTTACTTTTTAAGTCCCAACAATCCAAGCGTACGGCAAACGCTCGACTGAAACATCGATGCATGTGATTCTGTTCTTATGATTTTTCTTTTTCTGTTATTACTCTACTTTGAAACAACGACAGTGTGATTAGATTTTGCTGATCTCCCAACTTCCAAGTACTGTTTCTGAACTAATACCATGTATGTTTATGCATTTTATCTGGTTTGTCTAATCAATGCTTCTGAAAACTTTATTAAACGATAGTTTGATCCAAGATGGAGGGAGACAGCACCTAATAATTGTTTGTCTCTGAGCAGTTTTAGCTCAGGGAGGTCTACTTGATTTTCTCTACTTGATTTTCTCAAATCTGTGAATATTTTCATCCAAAAGTTAAATCCTCCACCGACAACGATTTCACTGAATTTTCTCAGTATTTCCTTTTTCTTCGGTTTTTCAAACGGAACTTGACATTATCGGTGAGCCAGGTGAAGGCTGGAGAACTGCATACTTGTTTGAATGCCATTTCAAACTAAATGTGAACTATTAATTGGCTATGATTTTACTTAAAAGTGTGAGTAATATCATTCTAATTGTTCTCTCCATCATTATTCAGTTCCAAACTACAGCACCAAAGAGTTGTTATATGCGGCCTCCTGGTGGCATTCTGGCTCCTGGAGAAAATGTTATTGCTACTGGTAATCTTTTTTTCCCACCTTTTCTGTTGAACTTTTTTGTGGTAATTGTAAGGGTATAGATTATATTTTGAATTCATTAGCGTACTTTAATTTCTTCCTTTTCATGGAATTCTTAGTTTTGTTTTGGTACAATCAGTATCTATCAACACAAGTGTAATTCAATTGCTTCATCTGTTGAACAGTCTTCAGATTTGTGGAGCAGCCTGAGAATAATGAAAAGGCAATGGATCAGAAGAGCAAAATTAAGTTTAAGATCATGAGCCTTAAAGTGAAAGGAGGAACAGAATACGCACCCGAGCTGGTGAGTGTCGGTTTAAATTGCCATTTATTTTGTTATCCATACTGTTCTGAGGTTGGTTAACTCTCTGTGGCTCTCTGTTATGAAATATAGACAATGTATTTGACAGTTCAATGTTCAATTGTGAAAGTTTGATTTCGTTGTCAAATTTTTTGATGTTGACATGTACTTTTGTTCTGCAAAATTTTCAGTTTGATGAACAGAAGGACCAAGTAACGATAGAGCGGATATTGCGGGTCGTATTTGTAGATGCAGAACGTCCTAGTGCTGTAAGTAAAACCAATGCACACAGGCTTGTTCTTTCTGCACTGGAGAGAGTGAAAACTAAATGCATTTTGCTCTCTTAGGCTCTTGAAAAACTGAAACGTCAACTGGCCGAAGCCGAGGCTGCACTCGAAGCACGCAAGAAACCTCCAGTAGAAACAGGTCCCCAAGTTGTGGGGGAAGGTCTTGTGATAGATGAATGGGTATGATGATCTGATACTGATAATGCTTTTCAACTAGTATTTTCAGTGTTTTGCTCATCTTATATTCCCGTAATGATCTTATTCATTATCTTCTGGTTTTCGTTTTCGGACCATTCAGAAGGAACGAAGGGAGAAATACCTTGCTCGTCAACAAGTCGGAGCAGTAGACTCCGTGTAAAGTGAGATTCACCATTTCACTACGCTCATTTCGAGGGTCACATTGTACAGGTATTGTCATCTTGAAGCCCTGGGTATCTGGAAGATGAAAGAAGTCGTTAGTTGGAAAGTTCATCAAGCGATGTCGATGTCGATGTCATTACTTAGGAAATGAGCAGCAAGAAACTTAGATCAAAAGTCGAATGCTGCTCGTTGTAGATAATGAATGAATTTTGCATTTGAAAATAAATGTGCTACACATCAATCACCTCAGCTTATGATCACTACATGAATATATGGTTCCGTGGCTCAATTGATTTTTGTTTTCTCTATATTATTTTTAACAACTTTTGGATTGATAAGTTGTACAATTATTGTGTTGAAAAAGGATGTTTGTATTGCCAAAAATTCAATATTTTGAGCTCAAGGTGAAGTGAAGCTTCTAATATTCATGGCTTAGGCTCGAATTTCAAATTTTGGAGAATATGGCATCTCTCTCGTTTGGAGCTTTTGTAATTACTTTGAAGATTTTACATCTTTATAAAGATTTTAGAAATTAAATAGATATAAAATCCGAGACTCGTTGACTGGATACCAATAACTTTTCTACACTTCCTTACCACCTTAAAGGTTAGAGGTTCAAATTTTCGCACCTTGTTGAACTAAAATAATCTAACTAATCCAATGCTATGGATATTGGGTCAATATAAAGAGAAATTTATAAAAATAGCACAAAAGGATATGTGTATATATAGCACTGGAGTTTAAAATTTTACAAAAAATGCTATAAATTGCAAATTTATACAATCCCGTGAGACCAACTAAAGGTGTAATTTTTGGGAAAACAAAATATTTGGCTCAATATATATTTGTTTTCGGTCATTTAGTGTAATTTCCATAAAATAAATTAACAGAAAGATTTACCTTTGTTTATGGAATTTTTCTAAAACATGTGGACTTGAATGTATTAATTATACAAATGTTTATTGTACTTATACGTACCTCTTTAATTACAAAGTATCTTTGACCCAAATTAACACTTCATATAATAATAGAATACGATACATTACTTTTTTTTTCCCTAACATACTTTGATATAAAAAATTACTTACAATTTCCTCAAATAAGCTTTTGGAGTTTGAAGTGCATAATATTTTCTTACAAACGCGAGTTTATATCGATTGAATGCCTAAAAATATTGAGAAAATACGATTCTTGAGGAGGAACCTTCTTCGATTCGTCGCTAGATATTTGACAACTCATTATTATTTAAAAAAAATTAATATTTAAAAATATTTGGTCCAAATATATTTAAGCTGATTTTACGGCCAATGTGAAATTACGCCCCTTTGCCCCTCATTTGTTTTAAAACTCTCTCATCTAGCTTTTGCTCTCAGCATCTCCCATCTTGCTCTCGCTAGAACCCCACTTTTTTTTCTTTCAAACGAACTTTTCATTGATTCAACTTGGTTTCTCTTCTTTTTCCTCGCAAAACAAGGTTTTGGAAGAAGTAAAGGAAGCACAAACACGAGGGTTCAACATCCATAGACCCCATTCATTTCAAGCTCTAGAAGACCAAAGACGATTAGAAGAAAACGAGGAAGAAGGCAGTGGTGGAAAAATACTATTGCCTAAACAGATTTAGGCTTTCGGTTCTCGACATCTAAACTTGGTTCCTATATTTGGTTCTTGATTGGATTATGTTTCTATTTGATCTCTAAGGCTTCAAAATAAAGCAAAATTTTTGGTCCATAAGATTCAGACTTCATATATGAGTTGAGTTTACCATTAGTTGATCTAAAGGAAATATAACATAATAGTTAACATATTGAAGTAAGTCCAACGACGAGATGACAAGGTCATCAACCTCTTTTAGGACACTTCAATTGGGTTAAGAAGAATGGCGGACCCAATGACAATGACATGGGGTCAATAATTTCACGTAATCATCTTAACTACTACATTATATTTTCGTTAAAAGAACTAAAAGCCAAGGATTAAATAGAAACCAAATTCAAATATTAGAGACTACAAGTGTCAATTTTGAAAACATCCATGTTAACTATCACACGCACCTTTCCATTAAGTCGACTAATGATCAGTTCGGGGTCAAATAGAAGTCAAACCCAAAATCTCTAGTGTCACTTTTGACTCAAAGATCCAATACAAATAAAAACAATAACTAAATCTCATGTTTAAGAAGTGTCACTTTTGAAACTCAAAGACCAAATATAAACAAGACATGCAAACTTCATAACCCAAAAATGTCACTTTTCAAATCCCACATACCAAATAGAAACTACACCAAAATTAATTTGCCCTGAAACTTTTTTTTAGCCCACTTATAGATTTCAACTCTCAAGAACTTGAATAGAATACTTTGGTGTTGGGTAGTCTCCACGAACTTTCGGGTAAACTATCAGTAAAAATTTGATTTTCTTCCCTATTTCGTTTGAATGGTTAGACTCTAATACCATATTCATGAAATTTCATCTCAAAACCAATTAACAATCAGATAAATAGTCTAATCTTTTATTTTTTTTTCTTTTTAACACTTAGTGATCACCTAAATATTTTTCTAGCACCAAATCCGACCAGAAAAAAATTGATAATACGTATGCAAATTTCTCAGTTAGAAGAATATGTCTCGAATCTCGCACATAAAACACACCATTTTCGAAAAGCAATAACAATAATAATATAATAATAATAATAATAGAAAAGCACAAACAAAACAAAACAAAAAACAACTATTTTTGTTTTAAAAAAAGAAATGAAATCAAACAAATAAATCTAAGAGTTTAACACATCCTGTACATAAAAATGGGCGACGAGCAACAGGGAATTACAGAAGGCGGCCGGATCAGAATAATAATTCAGATATCGTCGGGCAATTGAAAGCTCTGAGAACCGAAAATGTGGTGCGAATTGTTCTGAACGAAGACGGCGACGCCGCACTTGGCGGCGTTGAAGCTGTCCCAGAGGGCGAAGGCGACGCTGCCGGTGACCGTTTTCTTGGCGGAGGTGTCTTTCAGAGAGCATAGCTTTTCCAGCCTCCGGACCACGAAATCGTTCGCCAGCACACGCCCTTTGTTCTCGCCGGCCGGGCAGTCCGTCACCAGCCCGCTCTCGTACAGCGCCACCATCACGGCGGCGCCATCCCCCTCCACCTTCGTCCTCAATGCTCCGGTCAGCGACACCTGCAGGCTGTCCGTTGTTGGCCTCTGAAACGTCGCCTGAAGTTGAACAAACAAATTGATTTCACACTCGTCAAACTTTATAACGGTGACGGAAAAATGACGTGACGGTGATGGGACTTTTTTAACGTGATATTTTTGTTGAGCCAATTAATGATCAAAGAATGCTCAGAGACTCTTTACAATAAATATTCAGACCGATTAAAAACGTTTATTTTGAAATTTATAATCAAATTGACACATTTAATAATTGAAATAAAAAGTATTATTTCGAAATTTCAAGAAACAAATTGATACCTACCTTAAATCTCTCAAAAATGTATTTTTTTCAACAAGAAACTTTCATGAATATATTATTTCGTGTTATTAACTCATTTAATTTTTGTTAGAATTAAAACATGTTAATTTAGAACAAAAGTGTAATTAATATTATTTTAGATTGAAATAAGTATTTATTGGGCAACTAAAACTAATTTATAGATATATTATTGAAACATGTTAAAACAATTTTTTTTTTTAAATTGAGACTCAATTTTCAAATAACAAGAAATACAACTATAATATTCATGTTTTCAAATTTCTATTTTCATATTACCAACCAAACTCATAAATTTTTAATTAGTCTCATAAGCAAGCTAATAAGTTTTCATCGACATAATTTTCATATGTCCATCGATTTGATACAGATATTTTAATAATATCGTACAAAAAAATGGATCAAAGAAATATCCACAAAATATAAAAGACATGATATTAATATTAATAATTTTAAATTTATTTAAAGAGAATTAAAATTTTGGTCCTATACCATCCAGAGTTGTGTTCCTATTCTTTACAAATTTTTCAATAAGTTCCTAAAATTTCATGATTTTATCTATCTAATCATCTATTTTATAAAGATTCTAATAGAGACGTGAACTTTAAATTTTATTTCTTTTTAAGTCTTTGTCATTAACACCATTAGTCTAATGTTCATGTCATAAAATGTTGATTATGCTTCAAATCACCTCGTCTAGTATCCTTAACTAATATGATTAAGCATGCTGTATAAGTATTAATCTTATGAGTTACAAGTAATGCTCCTTTCAAATTCCTCCTTAGTTCCGAGTTTCAATTCTTAATCCTCATATTTGTTGTCCTAAAAAAACACACACTCCTAAAAAAAACACACATAAAGGTATAAGGATCTATTATAGTTTTTTTTTTCAAATTTAAAAATTAAAAACTAATTAAAAACTAATTAGAAACTGGTTAAAATACAAAAATTAAACCGATATAACTTTGGCAGTGAATAACAAAACTTATAATTTAACTTAAAATCTTTCCATTACATCACTAGATTTTGATAGATCTAGTTTGAATCAGTAATCGCAATTTGTCATGACATAACACTAATGATACAATAAAGTAGGATAAAATAAGTTTACAGTGAGGTAACATTTTTTTCACAAATCAAAGGAAGCCCTGCATCCACCTCATATTTGTAATATTGTATATTTTTTAAAAAAATACAAATTTTAATATTATTTTTTTATCCTACATTTTTAGTTTTGGTTCTTTTTAAACCACCGTTTTTATCCCTATATTTTAAAAAGTAACTATTTTGTACTATACATCACTCATAAAATTTCTCAAATATAGTCATAAATTTATATTAAAAAGTTTCTGTTGGGTTTATAAACCATACTAAATCGATAACTTTTTTAAACTATAAGGATTACAAGGACGTTTTAAAAATATAAAAATTAAAAGTGAATAAAATTTTAAATATAAAAACTAAAATCAACCCATATAAAGTATAATAATCAAAATGAAAAAAAAAAAAAATCAGCAAAAATGATGTGATGGCAACTCACAAACTACCTAATCTATCGTAACCAAGAGATCAGAGATTCTAATTACCGGAAGGAAG